AGGGGGGGGAAGGGGGGGGGAAGAAAGAATGCTTATTCAAGAATCTGTCAGCTAATGAGGGAGTTATGAAAAGCCCTGGATTATGCACGCAGTCACCTTTTGTTAAACAGTTACCTTTTTTGTTTACAGTGGTATCAGTGGTTCCAAAATGCTGCAATTCGGTCGATATTTTCACAAGAGACCAGCTGGCCTTGTGGGTTGTTTCCCCTCTCCCAGCCTGATCTTCCCAGCCCCTTCCATCTTCTGTTTGTTTTCGTAACAATACCGTCAACTACTATTTTTGAGAATTTAAAATATCAACCCACTTTGTGCACTGCCTTATTTTTCTTTTTATGCCAGAGAGTCCCCTCTAGAACGATGTTAAATTGCTCCCTGTGGGCTTGGCGTTCTTTTGGAATGCTGCTGGTGGTGGTCTTCAGTCTGTTGGATGGTGGTTTCTAACGTTTTTGGTTGTTAAGTGACTTGTTGCACTTCAAATACTGTAAAATGAAACCTTTGAATATATTTATGTTTCTTCTGCTATAATGTTGAACTATTAGCATTGTGACTAATTCCTCTCCCATGTGTGTTTCTTTACAGGCTCAGTGCTGAGCTGTTGTTCATTACCTTAAAATATTTATTTGGTAGAAGAAAGAAAAGATGGAAAAAGGGAATGAAAGTGTGTGTCGCACCTAGTTGATTTGTGTCTTTGGGTGAAAATAAAGGTCAGTGTTGGCAGTAATTCTCCTCTTAGTGATTTTCAGTTTTCCTAAATGAAAGCCAAATAGGAAAAAACATAATTGCAGTGAAGCCTGTCTTAAGGGACTAACATGGAAGAGAGCCCACAAACTAGCCTCTAATAACGATGTGTTCTGAACCAAAGGAGATGGTACAAATAATGCTGCAATTGTAACTGCTCTCAGTCCTTCAGTTTTGTTCCAGCAGCTGGCCAGAGCCTCCAGGTGAAGTCCAGCTGCAAGGATTTCTGTGCAAGCATCGCACCCAGCACCCACGAAGCGCAGGAGCAGAGGCCCGCGGTAGCCCTGCGATGGAAGTGGCTCATCGTTTTTCTTAGTGACAGCACAAAGTTAAAAACTGCGTCACTGATGTATGTTTTATGGTGTTCTTTGCTCTAAATCCATTTCACCTGCAATGATTTGGGGAAGGGAGCACTCGTGGGCAAAGTCCATTCTTCGTTTCTGCATTGTGTTTGCATTTGTTCATTGATCAGTGCTTTCCCTCTGCTCTGCTTCACACTTTCTGTGGGCACTGATGCTCGTACAAGGCAAATACGAAGCCGCAGAAGCTAAATTTAATAGCAGTTTCCACTGGTCCTTTCCAGCAGTGCAAAAGCTGCATGGGAAACGAGGCATGGGAGAATCAACAAACAGTTGGGTTGTTTCCCTTGTGGAGGCAGCCTCCCCTGACAGCCTCCACATGGAAAAGGAGAGCAGGACTGGAAAAGCCCACGAATTGGGAGGGTCACTCAAGGGCAGTCCCGAAGCCCTGGGTACGTTTCTTCAACATAGTGTATTTTTTTCTAATTCTTTAGATTTGTTTCTCTTTGAGTCACTCAAGGGCAGTCCCTTTTTTTTCTAATTCTTTAGATTTGTTTCTCTTTGTTCCTGCAAGACGGCAATACTGTAGGAAGTCAGCTCATTGTAATGGATGTTATTACAATGGAGGTCTGCAGCAGCCAAGGCTGCTTAAATGGTGTCCTGGAGGAGTTGCCACCCAGTGTTACTTAGTCCTGCCCAGTTCTGAAAACTTTGCAGTAGTAAAGTTTTAACCCAGAGAGGTAACAAATCCGCTGCGGTCTCCACGGCCTGGTTTCATCATGAGTAGCAATTAAGCAACAAGCATAACTGTGGCCAGGGGAAGTTAATGAGTTTTCAGAGACAAACTGATAAAACTGAAAAAAGGGCATAGGAGAAGGCACACAAACTTCACTGTGCCCGACAGCGAGTCTGTTGGTAGAGTGGTAGATCTGAGATGCTGCCCTTTACGATGACTCATGCATCAAGCCTGTATCCACAGATCGTCAACCTACAGCCTGGGTGCTTGTACTACACGGCTGAGTGAAGCAGTTCAGACACGTGATTCACATCAGTACTGGAAATGTGCAGGCTTGCACGGGAAGATCACCACTTTAGGATTCTCCCCGGCACCTGATCACCTTCTTTCTTTCCAGAAAGCTTTTTTCCTCTTAGCATTCTGGTCAAACCCAAGGGTGTGCTCATTCTCTTCATCATTTATCTTACTAGACAGAAAATAGTTGCAAAACCCATTAATAGCTGAACACATCTGTGTGTAGTGCACCCTTTTGGCAATCACGACTTTATTGGGTTTTGTGAGGCCTGAGGGGGAAGGGTTATGGCCTAGTTAATACGGCTTGCCAGGGGTTTGAAAGGTTGCGCTGTCTTAAGGTAGGGTAAGCAAGTGAACCATCTTTTGGGGATGTGTCCTCTCTTGTCTGTCCTAAGGACCCCTAAAAAGCTTTTGGCTTCTGTTAACAACAATTCTTACTCTTTAATTTCGGTGATGCATGACCCTTCACCTCCCCACTCATTTTTGTTGTCTTACTAGAACCCTGGGGTGGCTTGGTGATAGAGAAAGAAGGTGGATTCTGTGGTTTTACTCTTCTGTAAGAGATGAAAGCAAAAGGAGGCTCCCTTCCCACTGGACTCGGCGCCCAGTTGGAGCAGCGCTGCTGCTCTGCCCGTCTCCACCTCCCCACTCGCCTCTTCCTGCCTGGTTTCTTGCCTGATGCCGTTCTGCTCAGCCGCTGGCCTCTGCGCTCTCGTGTTCGTACTGCCCTGGTTTCAGTGTGCTCTCCTCCTGCCGCAGCGCGTGCGGGTGCCCGAGCACCTTGCCCCTTTAGGAGTAAGGAGCCATTTCATTTCCTGCATTCACCTTTGCTCAGTCCTGGTTTTACCTTCCTCAAGGACAGGTCTGGATTTAGCAAATGCGGCTTCCTCTTGGTCACATTCAGCTGAGCTGGTTTCTCGGCTAGCTTGAGGTGGATGGAGGTTCATCCTGATTCCTCCAGCACTTCTTTAAAGGTGTTCTGAGTTTGAGACAAGTATTCTTTTTCTGAAATTTGGGTCAGTGGCTTCTGGAAACTTTGGCTCAGGGTGGTCAGTCTTTTGCCACCCTCAGTGTTGATGGCTTACTGTTGAAGGAGGTCCGCTCTTGAGGTCTGCAGTTGCATCTCAAACCGTCGTAAGATTTGCTAGAGCTCATCTGAGCTCATCAGAGCTTTAACTGCATTTTTCTTTGCAGTTTATAGTAGTGATAACCTCTGTATGCCTCTAGCCATGAAATGTTGTTATTTGTATTACCCTCCCGCCTTAGTCATGGACGATATCCCCTTATGTGTGACACCATGCAAAGAGGATGAAAGATGGCCTCTGCTGTAAAGAACTTGCAATCTAAATAAAAGGCAAGAGACAAGGACACAACGAGACAATGTCAGCAAATAAAAAGCTGCTTCTCTTCTCTTTTCATGAACATGTTTAGGGAAGAGCCTGTGTTATGACTGTCAAAAAAAGAAAACTAATCTTCCCTCAAGGTATGAATATTTCACAATGTCTGGAAGAATCCACTTAACAATTCAGGAGCCACCCATCCTTTGAGGAATGCTGCCTGTGGGCCTTACTGCCCTCGTCACTGCAGGCAGCTCTCTTGCTTTGAGGAGGGAACTAGTCTCTCTTTTGCTTTCTTCCAAGGGCAGCTCCTTTCCCGCATGTTTTAATAAAGCTATAAACCATGTGAGAGCCGCATTATTCCTTAGCCGACGTGTGTGGGTAGTGCCTACCAAGATAGGGCCCTAGTCGCCGACCGAGGTTTCTTGTTTCTACTGTGTGTGCTTGATGGTCTCTGAAACCTTTGTGGTGTGCATTCTCCTGGCACAAGAGCGGCCAGGCTGTGGCGAGGACCCATGGAGGCTATCACAATACAAATAATAACTTAAGTAATTAAAGAAACACTGGGGGAGAATTCTTCTGAATTAATTTTGCCTCAGAGTGGATTGGGAAGCAGAGGGAAGAAGGGCTGTTGGGTTCTAGACAAGCTCCGTCTGCCACGCTGTACTTTCTTCTCCTGGCCAAAAGGCTCAGGCAGTAGGGCAGCATGACAAATTCCTGCCCATCACTTGAGTTGTCTTCACCGCCCAGGCTTTCTCTGGGCTCACCCTGACTGCAGGATGAAGCACGCTAGCCTGTCCCCTGTTAACCAAGGTTGGAGCTGGGTCACAGCACCTCACCGCCGGCGTAACGAGGCACGCTCGTGTGAACAGCTACAATAGCTTTGCTGATGCACAGGAACTTGCTCGGCAACCGCAACTTACTGGAGCCCATTTGTTTTATTTGTCCGATGTTCATGTGCCGAGCCGGTGGTTTAGGCTGGCGATGGAGTAAGACCTCGGCTGCCTTTAGGAAGAGACTCGTCTACGGCTTCTTTTTATCCCTGAAGCTGCCCACACAGAGCAGCTGCAGCAGTGCAGGCTCTCGTAGGGCTCATGTATCTCTGAGCCCCCTCAAAGCTGCCTCTTCCAGAGACGACGTTTTCTCCTGCGTGAAGCCAAGGCTAACAGCACCACGGGAAATCATGCCATGCAAACTCAGGCAAATAGCTTTACCTAAGTACAGTGGGAATTTGGTTTTTGGCAGCTACGCTGATGACTCGGGTCTTAGGGGAGAAATTGAGCAAATCTCTGGTGCTGACAAGGCACAGGCATTTCCTAAAGTTGCATTTTTTTATTTCTGTAACTAATACACCAGGAGCCTTTTAAATGTCTGAGGGGAAGCGGGGGAAGGGGAGAGCCAGGCAAGGGAGGAAGGGAGAGGCAATATTACGCCCGTGACTTATGACTGAAACCACGCAGTCAGCTGCTAGGCCCCCTGCGTGGTGCTCAGGAATCGCTGCTCTCCCATCACCGATTTACCAGACAAAGGCGTTCTCTCTGCATTGCAACACAGAGCCTTTGCAGACCACGTTGGTATCCTCAGAGGCAGCGATGGCTGAAACCCCCAGCCCTGAGGACTCCGCAATCCAAGCTGGCAGCCAACTGGCTGCTCAGGGATTTGCCCCTGGGAGTGCCTTGCTCTTTGTGTGTTTTACTTTGTGCTGGGGCCACATTTCACTTTGATTACTCATGTTGCTTTTTTTGGTTTTTCTTCTTTTTGATTTGCTCTTAATCGTCTTGCTGGATTTTTATGCCTTGCTCATTAGACTGGTGTGTTGCAGCGTGACCGGCAGTCCTGGAGGAGCGGGAAAGGAACGTGTATGTCCAGTGTATGTGAGGAGAAGCGCAGAGGCTGTAACTGTTCAGACACTAATCCTAACCTCCACAGGCTGACTCCTGCGTGCTCTGCCTCTGTCCTGCGGGAGCTCGTCACGCTGGTCTGCAGACAGGAGGACGCCAGATGGTTTTGGTGTGCACACACAAGCAGCTCTGACTCTGCTCGCCTACCTTGACGCTTGTAACAAGAAGACCGGAGCATGCCAAGCAAACTCCTGATTCTCTCCAGATTTACTTGCTAAGCAGTTTCCTATGTTCAGGAGGGCTTGTTTGCCAAACAGTAAGTTTAAAAGCAAAAGAAACCTCAATCCTCTTTTATTTTCTGATCACATCTACCTGCCAAAATTGAGTTTCTACCCCAGGATTTATGCCAGCTGATGCTATACCCAGTCATATCTATGCTGGTATGGAAGGGTATTTTGAGCACGTATCCACTTTGAACAAAAAAACCCAAACCCAGAACCTCTATTTCACATGTCCACTAGAAGGAAGCCTTTAAAATTATCCATACGAGCAGTGCTTTGGCCTCAAAAGCTGTTCTGGTACTGACGGGTTCATTAGTCCATTTTTCAGGTTAAGGAAGTACAAGGATGACTTTTCAGCTCACCTTCTCCAAGCCTGTATGGTGATTAGATGGGACAAAATGGACCTTCCTGGATGAATGGACTGGCAAGGCAGAGAGAGGAAGCAGCATTGTACACTTACAACTCCTGCCGTGTACAGCAGTATCATGAGCCAGGGTGTACAGCTGGGGTAGCTACGACTTCACCCAGGTCCGTTAACGATCAATGCTGTGCCTGGGAGTCGTTACGTCTTGACAGAGCCCAAGGATCAGTCTTTACTTTGTGATGTCCCCTCTTCCCACAGCACAGTGTATAGAGGGCTTTGGGAGATCCCGTCTTGGAAAGCCTGAAATTGCACAAGTTTCCTCCCCTGCTTTGGGGCAGAACCGAAACCAAATGGAAAAGTTACCGAAATACAGTCCCACCCACCCCCGCACAGGCGCCGGGCCAAGATACTAACAGAACAACTCTACAATTATGCAATTAATTTATCAAAGCATGGGACGCTTTGGTTCAAGTATTTGTGGCAGGATCTTACAGCTTTCCCATTACGGTGACTCGTGACCGCACGCCTCGCCAGAGCCGGGGGGCTGCGACGGCCCA